GAGCCTTGGCGCGCTTCCTGCTGAAGCTCTTGGTGCACTTCGTAGAGACTCTGTGCGGCAAAATGTTGGTTCAGCCGCTTCTTGATGCGAAACCGTGCTTGGCCACGCCGTTTCGCCTCGGGCACGGCAACCTGATCTGCATGGATTGAATGTGAATATTCACATTCCTCCCCCTTGGCACAACCAGCTGTGTATGAATAGAAGAGGCAGGGATCAAGATAAAGACCAGCTGGAGCTTCCCTTGAAGGTCTGGAATGATGCACAGCTGTCTCAGCAATCTCTATGGCTGAAGACGGAGCTGGCTTAACGACTGAATCCTGAAAAGCCACAGCCTTCATCTCCTCGTCTCCAGATTGCCCTGACTGCCCTGACTGGTTCGTTTCATTGTTGGAGTCCCCGGAGGCATCCCGAACACACTCATTCACACGTAGAACCCATCCTGTGAGATCACCAAGGTCCAGTGTTTCAATGGCAAAAAGTAAACACCCCTACGCAGCCTTGAAAGCCTGTGAAAAGAAAACAGCAATCTGTATGTTGGCGTGGAGATCGCAAGAAATTCAATGAAAATCAAATGTGATCAGGATGATGAGAATGATGATGATGATGATGATGATGATGATGAAGGTGGTGGTGGTGGTGGTGATGGTGGTGGTGATGATGGTGGTGATGATGATGCTGGTGGTGATGATGATGCTGGTGGTGGTGGTGGTGGTAATGAGCGGGCAAACAATTTGTTTTGCGAGGCAACCAACCCTCAAGTGAAGCATTATCGCATCAAAATGACCACCCCCAACCTCTGTCAGAAACAAATCCCAAGCATTCAAGGTTTCAAACAGTGAAAGACGAAGACAAGAGAGCGTAGAACACCTCACTCTGCTCCTGTCAGGGTTGAACCGCTCGACCCTGACGATGATTGGCTGCACCGTTCTGTAGGGCTTGTTCCGGACATGAAACTACCGCTCACCTGACACGGCTGTGGCAAGGCTTTTACCACCGGCCCGAGTAAACATAGATAACACAAATAAAATAGAATAACTACAATAACATTCCTCTGGACGCATGTCTGGGAGATTCTCTAACTCCCCTTGCGCCCAAAGAACGAACTCCCTCTGAATTCTGTCCAACCTTTTCTGTTCCCTCGGGCCCTCGGGGCTGCCCTTTCGACCAAAAGCGTGCTAAAAGCAGCCACGGCACGTGTTTTGTGTTTCTGCCACCTCTTCAAATGGCACACTACCTCACTACCTTCCACTGAACCACAAATTTTACGGGAGACACAACCTGCAAGATGTCCCATGCAAAGCTGAATTCTGATACTTTGCGAAGCTACCATTAGTAGCCTGAAGGCAATAGGCACTTGGTAGTTGATGTGTGGGAAGGGTTGATCTATGTTGATCTGGCTGGTGGTTTCAATCCCAAAATTAGGTAGAGCTGACGCTTAAATAGTGTGCCAACCAAAGTACTTTGTGTAGGATGGAACATAGCAGTAGCAAATTTTCAACACCAGCCAGTGATGATCCCCGATTTCTGCCCAGCAGCGGATTTGTGAAAGAAACTCTGAAAGACTGTGAAGATCAAGCCAGGAAAGCACTCCTCGAAGAAGTCTGTATCATAGCCAAAAATGGCGGCCAATGCAACATCGAAATAATCCTGCTGGTCCACGTCACCATCCTCACCTAAGAGTCAACATGGATTTTACACAGGTCTTGTCCAAAAAGGGACTTCAGAAATGTCCTATTCACCTTTAGTGGCCAGCAAGTTGCGAGGATACCACGACACCTGCAAGATGGTCTTGAAGTATCGGTAGACGCTACCTGCGGGGCTTCAAGGTCACATCCACTGGAAATGGGCCAAAGTCTGATCCAACCCATCCATTGAAACACCACAAAACGGTTCTATCCAATGTCCTGCAAACATTCACTTTTATGACATGAACATCCTGATATAAACTGAACCTGGTTGGTGGTTTCAACTCCTCTGAAAAATATTAGTCACATGGGATTATTATTCCCAACATGTGGAAAAATCAAAAATGTTCCAAACCACCAACCAGAACTGGATTTGCGATGATTCATGTGCTTCATGGTCTGCCCTATAGGTCTCCGTCCAAGCCCGCTCCTTCGAAGCGCTGAAGAAGCGCTCTGCGAAAACGCGCGGGGCCAAGCGAGGCGCCGGTAGCGATGCCAAACAGCTTGGGCTGTTGTCCACTTGACATTTTGGTGCCAAAAACCTGGAAGAAACGTGGGATTTGCCCTCAGATTAGGATGTATATATATATATATATAAAATTAGGTACGAAAGAAGTGGACTCTTTGAATGGGTTACACGGTTACACTTTGGGTGGGTTTACAGTGTAACGCCTCGTTGTTGATGAGTCATGCACATCCAATTTGCTACCCGCCCTGCATCCAAATGCCAGAATAATCAGTATATAAGTATATATATATATACTGCGTATAGTAATACCCCAAAACAAAGGCAACACAATTTACAGTAAATACCGTGCAAAAAGTGCCAAGTTCCATGTTAATCTCTGAAATTGCAAAAATCGTGTTTTTTGAGGTCAACCTGGACCATCACGCACCGGAAACACCCCCCAATTAACCTGAACCAAAACTAATTTTATTTTATTATTTTTTAAAATGTTATTTTGCCACGGGGGTACCACTATTAGTAGGAATGCAATGAATATACTATGCGTCGATTTTTTTTGGGAAGTTACTAGACATACTATCTGGCCAATGATTCCTCGGATATTGGGCGCAGTGCCTTCCAATTCAGTTGGGTTTCTCCTCCCCAATTCTCGGTGGCAAGTCTTCAAGTTTTCTTGGGCGAGAACTAAGCCTCAAATCTCCTTGGATTTCTAAGTGCAAATGTTTTTGGCCATGTTGGCCTTTGAAATGTTACTGTTACATATATCTATAGATACCATAGATATTTCCATGGGCGAAACTCCGCCTGGTGATCGCCCAGCCGGGTCACATGGACCACCTCGCTGCGCCAACTCGTCCAACTCGTCTCGTCTCAGGCGTCAGCTTTTCCGAGCTCGTTGTCATCACCTAGCCGCAAAAACACGTGGAAAAAACAACACGTTAAAACAAATGAGGAAAAACGATGGCCGGTAAACACTCTGTCGATGGGTCATAGGAGGTCATCCATCATTTATCCATATGTGGTAGCTGGGTTTTGGTAGCATAAAATGCAATTTTCAGGTAAAGACATCAACCAATCTGAAGTATGCTGCGACACATGGACAACAAATGCCAACACAGCCAGTGTCCACAGTCCTTGTGTATCCGTTGCCTGGTTATATCCGTGTCACCGAACCCAAACTATCATTGGTGTTTTTCAAATGGTCATTTTTATGTCGTGATCTTTGGAGTCTTTGGTCACATCCCCCAATCTCTTAGCTTATCTTAGCTTGCATATCTATCACAGGCCACACGACTCGGGCGGCTACGGGGCCACATGGGTGAAATCCAAGGGCTTGTCGGATCGAACATTTGTCGAATCTGCTGGGGATGAAGCTGCTTGATGTATGTACCATCTGGTTATGACTAACAGGGCTAGCCATGGTGATGGCCCATAGAAATAGATGGTTTACCGAACTAAAAAATGGTGATTTTCCATGGCGAACTGTTAGTCATAACCAGATGGTGTATATATATAATATATAATATATATATATATGTATTACATGTATATCAAATCAAGCCATGGATATACAGCGGGGTAAACTGATAGTTCGATGTGGAAAATCCACCAGTAGATCACACACATACCCCAAAAACAGGGGAAAACCACATATTCCCCACATGTTCCTGATATATATATATATATATATATGTATATGTATATATATATATATATGCACAATATATTTATGGCAAATTAGTGGCATTCATATGTGGCATTCATATAAGTTTGACATTAACATGTTGCCTGTGACATTTTGACCATCCACGTGTCAACACCAGGGTCCAGGAGGCCCTGTGTTAAGCCCCGTCCTGTTTCTTCGTGAGCAGCACACCGAAGATAATCTTCGCAAAGTCGCGCAGGTTGAAGGTATAATGAACCTGCCAGAGTCTGCCGGGCACTGGCAACCTATGGCATAGCCGGTGATGACCATTGATGAACATCCAAGGCAGAGACGAGACTTGGTTCCCATGGGTCCCATGACATGCTTCCCAGTAAAATGGTTTTATATGGTTTTAATATGTTTTAATATTTCTATCGAAGGTTTCTGCGAAGACCTATTCTGTCGCACGTTCGTCTTTTTGGCTTCGGGAAGCATCCCCAGCAGCCAATTGTTGTTTGGGACTCTTGGGGATGATCTGTTTCTGCCGCTCTGCCCATCTCCCAATGATCATGTCCTTGGGGTTCTCACATGCGGATGTTTTCTGGCTTAAAGAGTGTCTTGTGACCCTTTTCGGCCCAGGTGCATGATGTGCATGGCAAACCGATGTTTCAATATTATTTAGTAGTGACCCAACTCTGTCACTGGTCTTGAAGAACCACTTGCAACCTCTGAAGGCATAACATCCATGGGAACCTTGACGGCGACTGAGCCATACCAAGATGTTGACAGAACTTGGCACCCCAAGCCCCAACAGGTTTGAAGACACACCAAGGCCATCCAAGGCCATGCAAGGCCGAACATCAACAGCAAGCGGCGTGGAACTATCTGTCTATAATATATGAAAGTTTCAACCCCTGAAATTCCATAAATTCATGGTGTTTTTTTAACGGAGCATACTCCAACAGAGCAAGGTCATCAAAACAAATGCCACTTAGAGCTTTGCATCAACAAGTCAAACAGTCAAACCTTTTGACCCTTCAAAGTCGACATTCAATAACTAAAATTGCCCTGTCGGCTTTCCAACATTTATATACATTTATAACCTTTCAACCCGATTGATTGTTAAGGTAAGTGACCTAGCTCGCAAAACAAGCATGACCAACATATACTAATGCATGCTAACACAAACTTTCAACACACATAGCTTGTTATGCCAGTTCTTCCACCAAAGATAGTTACTCATGTTAACTTCATGTTAACTACAGTAGTTATCCATAAAAACATATTAACATAACAAAACTCCAACAACACCTGGGAGCTTTGTTATGCTTTGTTGGTTACTCCCATCTCCACACGATCGACTCACCAGATACGGGGGAGATCTGAGGTCAGAGCCGTTTTTCTCCGATCCTGGCGCTTTTTCACGGATAACCCTGGGATTTCCAAGGGATATCACAGCTGCCTGGGAAAGGGATGCTGATCCCCTCACATATGTGTGTTTCAATGGGATTTTCCTTTGTTTCTAGTGAGCTTTCCAAGGTGTGATGAACATATATATATATATATGACCATCCCAACAGGTAATATAGCTTTTCAATTATGTTCACAGGTTTCTACGTTTAAAATCTATCACCGTGTTTTTGGAGGAAGGGCTCAAATGGTCCATTCAAAAGCTTTGAGAACTGGATTTGGCAATTTCGACTGAATCTACCTGAATCTCGTATGTCAGAACTTGTGTTTAGTATCAACCTATCACGAAAAGGAAAAGCTCATCCCCAAATCCTCAGCAACTGCTCTCAACAACCTCACAGCTTCAAAGCTGCCTTTCTCCCCTAGCCATCGAGTCGTGGCAAACCTTCCAGGCGATGTAGACAATGTAGACTCATCCCGTTTGATCCAAACTTTTCGCAACCTCTGCATGCCTCTGCATGCCTCTGCATGCCCCTGCAACATCAACAGCTATAACTCAAGCCAGCCTCGGTGTCATGCTGCTTGCAGTCGGGGTCAAAGGCCCATCTGGTGCACCAGTAGCCCCGACCATCAAAGGTTCGGAGCTGACTGGTGATCATCGACACGGCGGAAGCTCTGATTCCCATGCCAAAACCATAGCCCAAGAAGTAGTTGGCCCTGGTGGCAATGGCCACTTCCAGGAAATAACCGTGAAGTTTGGACCAAACATTGGAGCTTTTCCTGTTTTTGTGCTCTGACATCTCGAAAAACGCCTGGATGTCGGAGGATGGAAGCAGCTCATCTGTAATGCTGTGCACTTGCGCTTGGCTACATAGCATGGCATAGGATTCACGGAGGCCTGCTAATAGCTGGGATTCCCTTGGAAGATTCGTCATCAAAAAAACGTCGGAACAGTGCAGGGCAGAAGGCACACAGCCCCGCAAGACATCGGCGTATTTATCTGGGAGAGAGAAGGCAGCCATAAATTTCTGACTCTTCTCATGCCACCCCCAAGGATGTTTGTACGGAATATCGTCTTCCTCCTCCGAAAAATTCCTCGATTGGGGCGGGAAGGGATCCAAATGGATCCAAGAAAATCCGGGGCCCTGGAACCTCCTCAATCACCAACATTGGAATGAACATATTTGTTGAAACATTTTTTTTCCAGTTTATTTTTCCAAACCGGGTCCTCCATCGAAAATGGGCCGCTTTGAATCTCCAGTCCTCTGGCGACCCGGCCCTGGTCGCTGAGCGGTTCATGCGCTGAACCACCCGATCTGCCAGCCACAAGAAGGACTTGCTGAAGCGGATGAGACTCCACATGCTGGGCAGCCAATTCGCCTGCGCCGCCTCCGGAAAGATAAAGATAAGGCGCCACTGATAGACTTCAGGTGTCGTTTTGATTGTGTTGTGTCTTTGAGTCTTTGACTATTTGACCATGGTTTTGGATATTTTGGATGGGATCGGGAATGCTACCAAACGCTTGAAACTATACCTATCCATATCCGAAACAGCCTGCTGATGCTTGCTATGGCCTTGCCAAGATCCATACCTTGCAACCGCAATCGTTCCAGACCATTCCATTGGTAGAGTTGGAAACCCAAGCGATGACCTGGCACATCCCAACCCAGAAAATTGCTGGATGATGATTGAAATAAAAAAATGCCAGCGAAAATGGAGATGGGACATATGACCAAATCAAAGTTCTGGAATATTCTTCATATATCATTTTTGTGTAGTATACATGTACAAAAACCGATTGCTACAAAATCATGCGCAATCAAGAATCAACAAAGGACACATCCAACGAAAAGTCCCCAGCTGGACCCTTTCCAGTCATAGAGCCGCCGCAGGGCATCCAATTCCCATCAATGATCTCGGACCAGAATTTATCCAGTTATTATACCAGTGGTTTATCCCTCACTGTTGCTGGTTAAATCCTTTTTTTGGGTGAAGTCACCATGTTTCTTGGTGAAATCGTTATTTTTCTTGGTTAAAAATCCAACATTTCTAGTTGAAATCACTTTTTGCGGGCTAAACTCACCATGTTTCTTAGTGATTTCTCCATGCTTCCCACGGAAATTACCCCGTTTCCTTCAAATCCCCACCATCCAGCCATCTCCACCCAACCTCTGGCCCCACCAGACTCCGCCAGGGCGTTGCGCAGCTCCAGCCGGAACTTCTCCATGTCTAACGTATTCTGGGCATCGCCCTGGAGACAAATCAGGCGCCGCACCAGGACCTTGCTGTCGTTGTAGACGCCCACCTCCTGGAAGCGTTGGGGCCCAGTGACATGGGGCATGTTGAAGGGTGAACACATATGGCATTAATGTGGGACAACGTGGGAGTTGTGATTATTATGGTTGTTTATTATTATTACCAGTAGTACCAATAGGAAACCTATAGGAGAGCTTGGTTGTTGTGAATCACGGATGGCAGAGCGAATCCGCTGATGGACCGAAAGGTGCTTGAGGTCTCCTCTCTTTCTCTCTCTCTTTCTCTCTCTTTCTCTCTCCTTCCTTCTCTCTCTCTTTCTCTCTCCTTCCTTCTCTCTCTCTCTCTCTCTCTTTCTTTCTCTCTCTCTCTCTCTTTCTCTTTCTCTTTCTCTGACTACCTACCTACCTACCTACCCACCGACCTACCCACCTATCTATATATGTATGTATCTATCTATCTATCCATCTAATCTAATCTAATCTACCCTAATATAATCTAATCTAATCTATCCTATCTATCTATCTATCTATCTTACTAATCTATCCTATTTATCTTACTAATCTATCCTATCTATCTTACTAATCTATCCAACCTATCCAATCTATCCAATCTACCGAATATATCTAATCTATCTAATGTATCTAACCTATCTAATCTATCTAATCTTTCTAATCTATTCTAATCTACCTATTCTAATCTACCTATTCTAATCTACCTATCTATCTACCTATCTACCTATCTACCTATCCACCTATCTACCTATCTACCTATCTATATCTATCTATCTATCAATCTATCAATCTATCAATCTATCAATCTATCAATCTATCAATCTATCAATCTATCAACCTATCTATCTATCTATCTATCTACCTACCTATCTATCTATCTATCTATCTATCCCTATCTATCCTATCTATCCTATCTATCCTATCTACCCTATCTATCCTATCTATCCTATCTATCCTACCTATCCTACCTATCCTACCTATCCTAGCCATCCTATCTATCCTATCTATCCTATCTTTCCTATCCATCCTATCTATCCTATCCATCCTATCCATCCTATCCATCCTATCCATCCTATCCATCCTATCCATCCTATCCATCCTATCCATCCTATCCATCCTATCCATCCTTTCCATCCTATCCATCCTATCCATCCTATCCATCCTATCCATCCTATCCATCCTATCCATCCTATCCATCCTATCCATCCTATCCATATCCTATCCATCCTATCCATATCCCCTATCCTATCCATCCTATCTATCCGTTCTATCCATCCTATCCTATCCTATCCTAGCCTATCCTATCTATCTATCTATCTTATCTATCTAATCTATCTAATCTATCTAATCTATCTAATCTAATCTAATCTAATCTATCTATCTATCTATCTGCAAGCTTGAAAATGAAGCTATTTTGCGAGGCTTCCTCAGTTTTCAAACTTGACAACATCAAAAACGCAGCAATTCAGCGAGACTGCCTCAATTTTTGCACTTGACACTATCAAAAACGAAGCAATTCTGCGAGACTTCCTGTTTTTTTGAAATTGACAACATCAAAAGCGAAGCAATTCTGCGAGACGTCCTTCAAAAATGGAAAGTTGAGTGCAGAGCTGACGGCCTCGTACCAAATGTGTTTTGCGATTTTTCCAGTCCATCTATCGAAACTACTGCGCCTGCCACGAAAAAGTGATGCCAGGTCATACGAAAGTGCTGCACCTGTCACGCAAAATCATCTCAGCAAACCTGAAGGTCTGAGGCTCCAAAATGCAACCCGTCTCAGGAAATCAGCGCCCGGGACCTCCTAACAGCTCTGATGAACATGTCTCTTGTACGGCGCCCGCCACGGAAACTGCAGATTTGCAGATCCTCTTCAAATGTCCCACGCCTGCCATCTTGTTTGGAAAAGCGACATAACCCTCACGTTTTTCTCACTTTTGACAAGGTCCACAATCCCTTGCGCCTGCCACGCGAAACGACATCCGAACGTCCAAAAGAGGCGCGAACATGTAGTGTTTTTAACATTTTGACTTCGGAATCTGCTTCGCTTCACAACGGTGTGCACTTTTTCGACATCTCAACTTCCAAAAGTGGTCCGAACCTGGTGTGTTTTGTACATTTTGACTTCGAAGTGTGCTTCGTGCCGCAACGGCGTGCACTTTTTCGACATCTCAACTTCCAAAAGTGGTCCGAACCTGGTGTGTTTTGTACATTTTGACTTCGACATGTGCTTCGTGCCACAACGGCGTGCACTGTTTCGACATCTCAACTTCCAAAAGTGGTCCTAACATGTGGTGTTTTCAACATTTTGACTTCTAAATGTGCTTCGCGCCACAACGGCGTGCAATTTTTCATCTCTCATCTGGCCAGATGGCTCCGCACCCGCCGCTTTAGCCAGCCTACTTTTCGACCCTCTGGAGCCACAAATCATTGGAATAACGCAGTGTTTCGCGACTTTCACCTGCATCTTCTTTCTTCTGACTCTCTCTCTTCTCTGATCTTCTCTCTTCTGCTCTTCTCTTCTCTATTCTTCTGCTCCGCCTCTGCTTTTCATCTGTTCATATTGTCGGAAGTTTGACTTCTAAACTTCCTTCGACTAATATTATTGATATTATTATTAGTATTATTATTATTACTATTGCTATTGCTATTATTGTTATTCCTTTTCTTCTTATTATTGCTATTACTGTTGTTTATTACCCCCTTTCTTGTTGTATCATATGAGGCTTGTATGGGATCACACAGGACAATGTAGGAGACAATTGGAATTAAATTCGGATCATATGGTGCTAAGTTGATTGAAACAAACTTGTGAAGACTCCCCGAAACACCGAAAAAATATGCCATGACAAGGAGCAAGAAGGAATACCCCCTGGTAATTTGTTCCATAGCGAGGAAAACTGCCGATTTACAGTTTTCTGTTGTTGCCAGCGCTCTCTCAGCCTATGAAACAAATGAATACAAATTATTTTTACCCTATTGACAATGGTGAATTTCCTTAGCAAAGGGCTAAATTACCGCAGAGTGTTGACATGAATTTAACCAAATGCGGGATAAAAGTGCGTCATGCATGTAATCAACATTCATCAATCAACACCATTCAATGTTAATGTGTTGCCAGACTGGGCCTGTTTTCAAACTTGCCATAACTTATGGCTTCTCTCCATGTGTTTGACTCATCTCGAAATGCCCGAGGAATATGGATGCGCCTAGCTCCGAATCCCTCAATTCACCACCAAATAGTTACAGTCCGTGCCATTTCTTAAAACATTACTTTCCTCATTAACTTGCTATTTCATCGATATTTGGCATATGATTTCTTATGCCACTTGTATGTAAAATATCACCAAGTTTTCATGGTAAAAAAAACCACATGTCCCACTTATATCACAACCATCCTACTGATATCCCCATTACATTCACCAATGATATGTTGTATCTCCGTCATATTCCCTACATACCGCTGGATGGAACATGACACTGGGACTGGGATGGTTTATTCCTGGTTGTGCCACATTAACCATGCTCTTTAGTCACACGCCCGCTAACCACACATGTAATATCATAAGGTATCCCCAACATGTCATGATGTGAGGTGCTTAGAATTTGTGCGGAACTCTATGTTTCCCGACAGTCTGGACATATCAATCCACTTCAGTCATTAAAAAACCCTACCCCATCTCATGAAATACATTGAAATACTAGTTGGTTGATAGGTTTTCCTACTATGGATTATCAAAATCACCCAAAAAAACTAGCGAGTAAAAGCCCCACCAAAGTAACCGATCACCCAGGGCATGTCTCCGTAGGAATCCGCGAGTCTCCTGATTGAAATCCGGTCGATCTTCACAGTGCAGGATGGGTTCCATTCGGTAGTTGCCCATGGTAACCAAGCCGCCGCGTAGCGCCACGTCAGTCAGGAGGAACCTACGGGAGGTTGCATGGGCCACAATGGGGATATATGTGCATGCACATGTGTATGTGTATATGTATATGTATATGTATATATATAATTATATAGTAAAGATATGTGAAACACTCTTCTGGGATATTTACCAAATGGGATAAACATGGATTGTGATGGGGAAACCAACGATACGAACTGGGCTTTCAATGGCGGGTTGATTGAAAGAGAAATTACAGGTTTCCCTTGAACCAATTCTGGGACTGAAAGCATCGGTTTTAACCTAAGCCTACACTAAGAGTAGTCAATTGAGGATCATCAATCCACCTGAAACACTATTGGATCCGCTACATCCCGATGACTTACATGATCTTACATGTGTATCCTCTGGGGGAAACGAAACCAACCAAAGATGGTGAAAACCAGTCAAAAAAGCGATGCTTTTTTACATCACCAGCGGCAGAGTATCGATGACGCCCTCGGTCTCTTGAAACTCGTTCCACTCGACGGTTACATCCACTGCAAACTTCTGGACTTCGGACCGGAGGTGCCCTCAGGGAAAAAATGGAGGGCCAGGTCTCAGTTGAGGGTCTTTATGCAGAAGTTATTGCAGAAGTTGGACCCCAGGCATACTATATGGCGACGATGTGGAACCGACTGAGCACTGTCACAGATCCTTGACATGAAGAATGGCCATGATGATGACCTCTTGGCACGAGGATTGGTACGATGGTGACAATGGCTACTACGAGGACTACCACTACGACCAGGAGGATTGGCCTGACTCTGACTTTTATGGCAGCTTTAGCATACGTCATATATTGTTGATGGGGCTGCAGGTTCTTTTCTACAGTGGGCCTCCCACCCCGCAGTCCCAGACTGAAAGGTACAGCAAATTCCTATGAAATCCCAAATCCCTCCAAATCCCTTCTCAACATCCAGTGCCGCAGCATGTCGCACAAAAAAGTACGGAGATGCTGGATCTAGGTGGGTTGAATTCAATTAATGCCACATTTGTCAACCTTTGCCGCCTATGTCGAAGAAGTCGCGGAAAGGAACGCTCTTCATCTGGTCCCAAGTGTTCTCAACCAGGCGGCTCATCAACTCAGGTGTGGTCATCCACTGGTGATTCAAACATCTCATGTCGTGCGGGACATCAGCCAGAAGCGGCTCGACCAGAGTGACATGTTCCAAGCCCTGAAGTAGTACCAGCTGTAAAGATTGAAGCAGATCCACCAACAACCAGCCGTGTTGTTCGCGGCATGGACCAAAAAAGTCCACTGGAATAAATTGAACTCGGGGGAGTTTCAGGTGAACCATGGAGGCCACTGGCAGGTAATATGCCATGGACAAAACTTCATTGCTTTCGTGCATGAACAAACCTTCCGAGGACAGAGCCAGAAGGTTGTAGTTTTTGTTGGGTTGGGACGTTGCCAATCCCTTCATATACCGATGATTCTGCCAATCATTCTCTTGGCTTTGACAATAGTTGCTGGGAGGAGTGAAGCTGTCCTGACGCCTGAAGAGATAGATATCTTGCATGGGGAGCTCCGAAAAAGCATGGCCTCCCACGAAGAAACATCGCAAAGTGCCACATTTGCTGACAGAAACGTTCAGCTCATCTGCAGGTCTGAGGTCCCCATGGGAGTCTGCAAGCCGAAAGGACTGCATCAAAGCAGCAAGACGCACAACTTTCGATTTCCGCGGATGTCCCGTCTCAGACTGTCCATTTGCACGGAGGAAGACCAAGGAATCATGCTCCAACGTCTCAGTTTCCAGCTCTAATTCATAGACAGGAGCTAGATTGGCAACGCTGAAGGCGTCCTCCTTCGTCGTTTTTTCTTAGCTTACAGCACCAGTCTCAATAAAAGAAACACAAAACTGTTTGCCAACGATGTTCTTGCCAACTGGTGAACATGTGGAATCATTTGGACATTGTCGTGACTACTTTGAACACTTTGAACCAGTCCCACCAGACGCAGGCTGAATGGAGTCATCATCGTTTAGAAAATTGGGCAGATTGAAACTGTTTGAATAGTAGCTCCGGGTTCCCTGGTTTCTCCCCCAATCCTGTTCCGTGAGCAGCAGTCGCAGATGATTTGTATTGGATGTTGCATCCAAAATGTGATGTCGCATCGAAACCGCCGAGACCGACGATATCAAGAGCCCCTCCACGGAGGCTGTGAGGCCCATGGTTCATCATCCTTTGAACGGGAAAATGATAGAATACGGAAACCAACACAAGCCACAAAAACATCAAAAACAACCAGCCAATCATTGACATATATAGATGGAATCTCCCAAGAAATTCATACACATTCCTAACACATGAAACCGAGAATCGCCAATCATCTGCAGGTCCCAAAATGTATGGCAAATCAGATTCCTTGCAGCTCCGGTAGACTGGAATCTCCACCCGCTGCTGGACGCGACTCAGTACTTCATCAGATGAATGGATGGCCAGGGCGCCCAAGTATGGTAGGATTCCTTTGTTTTTGCGGATTTGGGGCCATTACCCCCCAAAAAAATAGTAAACACATTGCCAGTAGATTAATTACCCAAATAGTTGATTCACGTTGACCAATGGGAAAATAAGAACAACTCCTCAACATCTCCAGGATTCCAGATGCCAGGATGGAGTGGAAGAGTTCCGTCTTTGGTTCACAGAAATATTCCAAGCAAATCCTGATGGCTGAATCGTTTTCCAAGGAACTTTTGGATTTCTCATGCCACCCATAAAGATGGGGCAAACCATGCACCCGATTCAGTTTCAGTGGGGACTCCCTGGCCACTTTCAGCTGTAAACTTATAGATTTTGAACCCCACCTGGCCATCATAGCCCCTTCCGCCTATTGCTAAACGCACTCAAACACCGGTCCATTTTAAATTTTGGGACATCTGAAGTTGGCCGATTTGATTTTAACCGATCCCCTTTAGAACACGAAGTAAAAAATGAAGGTCCCATTCAAGGGTTTCACCGGTTTCACCCCCCAAATAATAAAAACTAGTCAGCACAGGGGCGGTTTTATTACGAGTAGGGTCCGTACTTTAAAATCGAACATGTTAGTTTTATTTCCCCAAACAGGTTTACCTGTATGGGGTTCTTACTCCTTTCAAAGGGTTGCATCCCTGGGCCGCATGATTTTGCCTTTGTCTCCGGGCTTGCATCCCACTCTGGGTGCCTTGGGCCGCGTGAGTTTACACTTGTCTCCCACACTTGTCTTCCACTCTGGGTGCCTTGGGCCGCATGAGTTTACACTTGTCTCCCACTCTGGGTGTCTTGGGCCGCATGAGTTTACACTTGTCTCCCACTTGTCTCCCACACTTGTCTCCCACACTTGTCTCCCACTCTGGGTGTCTTGGGCCGCATGATTTTACACTTGTTTCCCACTTGTCTCCCACACTTGTCTCCCACTCTGGGTGCCTTGGGCCGCATGAATTTACACTTGTCTTCCACTTGTCTCCCACACTTGTCTCCCACACTTGTCTCCCACACTTGTCTCCCACACTTGTCTCCCACTCTGGGTTCCTTGGGCCGCATGAGTTTACACTGTTTACACTTGTCTTCCCCTTGTCTCCCACTCTGGGTTCCTTGGGCCGCATGAATTTACACTTGTCTTCCCCTTGTCTCCCACACTTGTCTCTCACTCTGGGTGCCTTGGGCGGCATGAGTTTACAATTGTCTCCCACTTGTCTCCCGCACTTGTCTCCCGCACTTGTCTCCCACTCTGGGTGCCTTGGGCCGCATGAGTTTACACTTGTCTCCCACTTGTCTCCCACACTTGTCTTCCACACTTGTCTTCCACTCTGGGTGCCTTGGGCCGCATGAGTTTACACTTGTCTCCCACTTGTCTCCCACACTTGTCTTCCACACTTGTCTCCCACTCTGGGTGCCTTGGGCCGCATCTTGTCTCCCACACTTGTCTCCAATCACAAATTGTGGCGCCGTTGGCCATGCACAGCTGACGAAGACTTGCCGTTTGCTTCAGCTCCGGTTGTATGTCAACTGTGTCACTGTGGATTTGCAGGCTTTGATGCCTTGCTTGTACATTGCAGGGAAAAACATGGAAATTGATGGAAATTGGGCAGTGTGTATAGGAAGCAGCTTTTCTTTCATGCACGAGAAGCCGGTCTGCAGCCAATCAGATCATGGACAAAAAGGGCAATGATTCGTAATTTTTCGTTTTTCCAATCTTTTTCTGTGCCCTGCAGTTTGAACGATTGGAGCCGAAAAACTTTGACGCACTGCCAGCCTAGACGCTTGGAAGCACGCGCAATTTGTGCAGTCGTGACTATTTAGAAAACAGGTTTGAAATTTACCTATTCATGGAACCGAGCAGCAAAACTTCGTTCAACAAGTTTTTCTATGAATATTACACCGCTGCTTCTGAAGGATATGTAGCAACATACAGGATAAATTTTGCGCTGGGCCCTATAAGGCCATAACTGAACTGCTTGCTGTAGAAAAATATGCCGCGCTGATGCCGCAAATACAAGTAGAAGAATTACATGCATCTAGCATCCAACATCCGCGCGACGCTGCGGCTCGCTGGCTTCTTCACACCCGCCGCGTGAAAGCTTGCCAACAAACCAATGCATCTGATTCACGACCACCATGTGCTGGAGTAGGGACAGCGGATGCCACAGTTTGAGTTTGCAAAGACTGTTTGCTACATTTGGCTCATCCTACACACCCAACAATGCCTCCTTTGGCATTGGCAAACTTGATGTGGCTGGTCGACACCACCCGCGTTTCAAAGATTTGAATCTAGCGACTCGCGTTCTGCTTGGGAAAGGACGAGCTTGCATGCGCCAAATATTCTTGGGCCAAGGTCCCCGGGAAGAGGGTGGCAAAGGACTGATAGGAAACACTATCTTGTTGTCACAAGCGGAAGTGATGCCAACGCACATTTTGCCAGCTTTGAGCAAGACACTAGATTCCTTTTCTATCTTTTTTTGCCGTTCTGTTGATGACGTTAAAAGAATCAAAGCTTTGGTCGTCAACAGAGTGGAATATTTGGAATGCTTGCAGCTCAGGAAAAAGATTCGTCCAGTTTTTTCAACAGTTGATGTTGATGTTGCAGTCGCTTTCAGGGACCTCCCCGAGAAAGGGGTGCCGGATGCATTTGTTGAGGCCTTGCCAGAGGCAGAATCACTTCAAACAGTTATGCCGGGACCTGCTTCTAGAGGCGATCCTTTGGGGAAAGGCGACGTTGATGAGGAAGATGAAGAAAAGAGCTCCGAAGAAACGCCTGAAGTTTCCATTTGTGCCGTGCAAAGCCAAGCTCCGGAGACTTTAATCGGCATTTATTTTTTGCAAGATCCAAAACCAGTGCAGCATTTCAAAGCTATGCGTGCCAAATTGGAGCTTTTGAACAAAGAAGGACAACAACTTCATCAGCTGCGTCGATCCCAATCTGTTGAAGATGTCACAGCAGCCGCTGGTTCAGAAGAACATTGCAAAAGAATTGTTTTAGATGTCCAACATGAGATGAAAAAATGTTGCACGCAAACAAAAACGTTTTCCCTGACTTGCTTGGTAAGATGACTGTCTCAGGTGCAACACCTGCTCACTGTGATGACCAAGCCATGGCTGTTGCTGTTCCTACTCAAACGCCGCTTTCTGCCTTTGACCCACAAACATAGCCCGCATGTTTCACAGAATTTTTTTTCATGGTGATTGTGCGCCCAGTATGCCGATGCGTCCAAACAGGAATGTTTCACACGAAGATATATTCCGTGCTCTTCTTTTGAGAGAGGAACTTGAATACCATTTGCAGACAGACATCCTAATGCACCTTATAAAGGACATGGCAAGTCACGATTTGATACTCCAGAGTCTTGTTGTGTCTTCGGTGACAATGTGCGTCGAATGAAAATGCTACAATCTGTCAACGCTGCTTTCGAAAGGCAAGGATTCGAAGAAGATGTCCGTTTAATTTCGCAAGCTTCCGCTGCTGACTTCATGCAGGCAAACGAATCGCAAGATGTCATCAGCATGGCAAACTCCAAAAAAACGTGTAGACGAGTGCAGCTGGCATTGCGACAATTACTTTTTTCAACAAGTATGGTCTTGCTGACAGACGGATATAGACAAAGGTGCCGGCATCTTGGTCATGCTTTGAATCTTTATTTTGGCGCTCTAAACGGATTTTCTACACACAACTTTGCGGATGGATACCACCCATTGCTATATCAGTTAGCAGACCACAATTCAATCAATTTGACGCGCCAAGCTCCGCTGTTGCCTACGTTGCAAACAATGCACAAACTTGCGGTTGGGTGTCCAGCTGCAGCTGCTCGGTTGTTTTTGCTCTTGGAAAATTTGTCATACAGGCACCTTTTTTCTGTTACTGCCAAAATAGGATCGCTATCACTCCGACGCACATGTGCAAGCATAGAAGAAGACGACTATGCTTCCACAGCAGTTCCAGGAGTTCTTGGTTTTACTGAAGCCATTTTTGAACCATTGGAATCACAAGGCAGAGGTTGCATTCCTCACGGGCACCGCAAAATTTACAGGACCCCAAATGCTTTAACCAGTTTGGAGACACTATTACAAAAAGCTGTCAGCAAAGACAATGAGAGTGCTTCCCAGAGCATGGACAAAGCGTTGGATGAAGAAGTAAAGAAATTGAATAGCCAGCTGATTGCAACCGCTGCTTCATGCCAATATGAATCAGCAAGCTTGCTTGGGAAAGACCTGGGAATCACTGTGCGTGATGAACCCTTTTCCGCAAAGGAGCAAAAACAAAGCAAATTCGATGGATTGATGGAGACCGATGGTGAGACACAACGCGTGCTCATACCAGTTTGTGAGCCAGATCAATTTGCTCACGTGGCAGCAGAAGCACAGACAGCCGCCAATGAGCGGAGGAACCCCCGCCACAGCTACAAGGAAATAGATTTGACCACATGTCAGCTCAGCATTTTTCCTCACTATCGGCTGCCAACGCGCATACTGGATGTTCCCGCAACCACAGAAGACGGTTGCTTGAACAATGACCGCATGGCAGATTACCCTTCTGGCTTTCCATGGCGTGTAAATGAGCACGGCCAATTTACGGGATTTTACCTTCAAAACGGAGATGCCACTCAATTTGATTTTGTTCACGATGCGAACGCGTGGGCGGAATCGCATGCGCGAGATTTCAGGTTTTTGCACTGCAACAATCACACTCATGCTTGTACAGCTAGTTGTCTAAAGTATTCCAAGAAAACTACCGCAGAAAAAACGCAATTGTTGAAAGGGAAGAAAACCCCAGGGTGTCGACACAATTTTTGGCGGATCGTAGCTTTGAAGGTAAAGCAAGGCATTGACACTGTTATTCACAGAATCAGACGCCGCGGAAAAGATTTAGTGTTTTTTCCCTGCATTGCCACAACCAACTCACAAAATGAGTTCGGACTCGTCCAGGTCATCCGAAACATGCCGTTCAGATCTCCAACAAACGACGTCATCCAAGTCACTTGCAGATGCAATTCAGATTTCCGATATATGGGACGGGGGGTCCCAGAGGAAACAGACGTGGCCATAAAGTGTTCAGACCTGCAGCTGGCGGCTTGCTGCCATATTTCCATCCAAAACTTGCACACGCCACTCTTGAAAAAAGTGGTTCGATCAATTCTCGCTTTGCACGTGGCTGCTCACAATTGCGACTTTTACATCACAAAATACCAAAGTA